TGGGCACTATCGCCGGCAGCGAGGTCGCCACTCGCCCCGCTATCTACTGCTAGAGACAAACTGCTCGAATTTTATCTATACGTTTTAATATATTCAACACTATCCAGTTTATATATTTTAAGTATTATTATGTAAAACCAGGTGAATTATTAAAAGTCAAGGAACAAAGTTGTTGTTTATGATGTTAGTATAGTCTTGCATAGTTGTTAGTAGGTTTTCAAAAATAACCCTGTAGGTACCTATATGAAAATCCCCAACTCTTCTTCCCCAACTCAGATTTATACTTAAATCGAGTCGAGTGCCTGAAAATGCATTTAGTTTTCTACTTCGCAACATTGCCTTTGTTTACCCATTATTGGCTGTTTCCATTTGTATATTTAATTTATATCGCACAACTAGGCGGTTCATTGCTTGTTATCTATTAATAATTCATCGTGTATCATTACCCTTTTGTTCCTAACTACGTCTGTTTCCATGCACCTTGATTTATTGCGTTTTGTGTGCAGTAAGTAGGTAATATTATCATGCGCAATGCTCTGTTTATTTTAATGCTGAATTATTGTATTGTGTTAAATTGTGCCAAATATATCTTTGCATGAATTAGTACATACACAAGTGGCAATGTATCAAAATACGCACTATAGATACCCAATGTGTACATTATGTATGTATCTTATGTTATTACATATTACGAATTTTGCGGTAGCAGTAGAGCTCCTTCTATAAGAGTTCGTCCAGGTAAGTTCTGCCATGCTAATAAAAATGAAAGTAAATTAATTTACTACTCCGCAAACCCAGTGGAGGTTAAAAATCATGCAAAATAGATGCACTTGTGTTAATTTTAATGTTCGTTTTAATTTTAACATGCATGAATAAAAATATTCAACACAAGCGCAGCTATTTTGCATGGCTTAAGCTCCACTGGGTTCGCGGAGTAACAAATTCATTTACTTCCATTTTTATTAAATAATAAATTACCAAAATGTGTGACAAAGTTACCGACTAATATCCACTTGCACTAAACTTAAGGACCTATGTTTTAAACCAATGCTTGCAATGTAAAAGACAGAAATAAATAAATTAATAAGACACTCTAAGCATTGGTTATTACACTAGATTTTTTGTGCATTTGTGGATTTGCCTTGAAATCAAATAAACAACTACTTAAAATGTTTGAATGCAATTTACTTTGACCCAAATGTTTGCGCACCTTACATTTACATTATTTACATAATTATTTTGTTAACGTTGCTAATTGTTTGAACACGAATTGTCTTAAATAATTACTTGAGCAGAAACTCAGGTAAAAGTTGATCGCTGTAGGCGTAGACAGGTGAGTGGGCGTGGCGAGCATTCAACACCCCGCTTCGTCGCTCCCCGCTCCACTTCCACCACCACCCCTTTATTTATTAGCCAATACCTATATTAAGACTTACTTTGCCTTGGACTCCAACGCTTTCGTACTCACTATGTGACATTCCCATTCTATTAAGTTCCTACATCCATGATTTCGTTAAGAAAGAAGGTCTATAATATTAACTTTAGAACTAAGTCCCAACTCATGGTACCACGATTTCTTTTAACTAAGGCAAACAATTATTTTATGGGGAACCGTTTTTACAATAAGATTCCGAAGTATATACATCTTAAGATTTTTATTTCCTGTGCTTAAAAGTTGCGTTGAAAATATTTACATATAATATTTGAATTGAAAAGTCATATTACAAAATTTATGACTTAGGTGCGTATACCTACGTGTTAGACACTATGTGGTCTGTGGTGTTAGATAAAGATTCCACACAAATTTGATTCAAAGTTTATTCCATAGCATTTAAAAAGAGTAACCCCTAGAGTTTCTTGGTCGTTCTTGTCAGAGAAGTGAGCACAGCTTAGAGGATTGGTTTCCATAGTCTAAGGAGCACAGTGAATGAGCTGTAGCTTAGAAAATGACGTTTAACAAGTGTAAATTGATTTTCCCTACGGAATAAATGATTTTTTTACTTTGACTTTACACCAACGTAAATTATACACATATTATTAAACAATAGATATTCTAATTTTCAGCTATTCACGTAAACATTAAACTCTGCCTTTAGTTGGACATAAGTCTAACACTCGTAACTATTTATGAACAAACACAAGCATCGTATTTATGAAAATTCTTCACTAAGATTGAATTGAGTGAAATTTTTACTTAAGTGGACTGGGTGGTGTTTGATATTTTATGAACATTTTTTCGCTCGCTCTTATCCAAGGTCAATCTCAAGTTTCATTTGAGAGGTTATTTGAAGAGATTTTTTTACTTTGAAGCCAGCCAATGACTTGAAGGTAGCCAAAGACAGTATTTGTTTCTTCAACAAATAAAATCGGGAATTTTCACAATTATTTTGTAGTCTGTGGACTTTTATTTGTGACAGTTAGCAAACAATCAATTAATTACCTTTGCTTTTCCTCAGCGAAAAAAATTTGAAAATCATAAAACCGTTATATCTTATTTGTTATTATAACTTTCTGTTATTGATTTTTATATTTGCTTATAAATACTTATTCATTCATTAATATGGCTGAAACGAAAAGATGGTTTATTCAAGTTTTCAGAGAGAAATATTCAAGGAACTTGTCATGAAGAAGAAATACTTTATATTACTTTCCTACTTAATGAGAAGAATTCGCATCAAATTTTCATACCTACCTGTATCGGCTGAAAAACTGTTCATCGTCCAGTACTTCCAAGATATTGCCAGGGTCCCTCAGATACCTTTTAGGTGCTCTTACACCACGGTAATCATCTTCGTTTTTCAGATAATGAGCCATAAAGGTCCCAAACTTGTCCCTTTTTAAAATAGTTTATACTAAAAAATGGTAGGTAAATACGTGATAAAAAATATATCAGAGCAACTCAAGAAAAAACGCAAACAACACAGTGATAAAAATGTTTTCAAGTCAGACTTAAGACATTTTTTATACAAGTGCAACTTAACTCGATACTGAGACCGAGTTAATATTGAGCTAAGACATAAAAATCGTTCATACATACCAATTATTGACTTGAGTCGTACTTGATACTATTTTATGCTTACGTTGGACTTATCTTTGTTCATAAATACGGGTGTAAGACAAATATGTACTAGACACGTAATATCTACGGTGTTGCATAGTTTGCTTACCGTTCGAGCGAAACGGCCGCGGCCAGGCGGTAGGCATCTTTCTCCATGTTTGCGGAGCCTTAATGGACATGTTGTGTCGGGCTGTTAATTTAATTAGCTTGTGCCAGACGGGGCGGCTCGTCAACGGTGCTCATTGTTTTCACGCCACAATGAAATCTTTAATGTTTTCCGTTAGACATAATAAATAAAACATAAGGCGGTCACGAATTGGTATATTTATGCTTTGCATATGACATTACTACATGATTGAGGAGTAATTTTAAAATAATTTATAATAAGAACATATTACTGTGGTAGTTTAATGGTTTGAATTACTGCCTCTCGAGCAGAGGCCCGTAGGTTAGAATCCGGGCTCGCAACTAAGAGTTTTTCGGAATTTATGCGCCAAATTTAACTTTAAATTTACCATAAGCTTTTCGATGAAGGAAAACATCGTGATGAAACCAGCACGTCGAAGAAGGTTCACAACCCTCGGAAAACGTGTAAAGCCCCCAACCCTACTATACATATCGACTCATCCGTATTACAAAGACCTATTCTGTGCAAGACTATTTGTTTTCAGGACATAGTACATTTCGTTCGTTCTTCTTCGCTGTGGATGTCAGATCGATTTTATATTTCCGAAACGAAAAAAGATATACAAATTCTCAAAACACCTTTACATAGGCCTTAATTTGAATATCGAAATTGTTTTCGTAACGTATTTATTCTCTTTTCGCTATATAATCAATCCGACTATTCTTCGGATGAGTATTTATAATAAGAACTTATAATATTGTACCTAGTAGGTACTAGTAACCTACAATATTTTGTATTCATACAGTTACTTAAAAAGGGTTACAACCTTCGGAAAACGTGTGCAGTCTCCAACCCGCATTGGGCCAGCGTGGTGTTCTAAGGCCGAAACACTCACCTGAGAGGAGATCCGTGCCCAGCAGTGGGACGTATATGTATATATGTAGGTTAATGATGTAGGAACATATTAATTTCACATATCAATTTAAAACAATTTACATTGTTATGAGTGTAAATTGAGATGCCTTTCTTAAATATCGGTAATCCAAAAAAGGATAAACCGGTTCGCGCTAAGCACCATCTAAATTTATCTCAGCAAACAAAAGATAATTACAGATTCACCTTCAATATTTGCTGAAGATAAATCGCACCACAATGGCAGACGATATTCGCAACATTTGCTTTTTAACTCTACACGCCGTATACTATAAGAATTGTACATAAATACCTTATATCTTATATTTTATAGGTGTTCCTTACTAAAAAAATACTGTCTGTACTCTTAAAAAATACTGTCTACTTAGGAAAGCCTTGCGGGAAGCCTTAGGGAAGTCTAATTTCGAGAATTGCATTTTTGGTTTTACTATACAAGTTTCTTGGGTCTACTCCTGTTCTCCGGCCGACATCTTTCCGAAACAATTACGGTCAAATAAGTAACACTCGACCAAATTTAAAATGGTCGAGTATTACTTATTTCACAGCAATTTTATTGTTCCGGACGGATGTCGGGCAGAGAACGGTAATGGACCCCCTGCTCATTTGCGGTAATTGCTTAGAAAATACATACAGTAGTGCTTCGTAGATCCTCAATAAGTTGACATGTGACTGGCACGCCTTTCCTTTCAACAGACGTACCCGGTATCTAGCTCCGTACCGATCATCGAAGTTACTAAGAAAAAACCTGATCTTGTTTCGTTCAGAGTACAGTTAGCCGCGGAGCATTAAGTAATCGGAGCTGAGAGCGACGAGATAAAGTTGCGCACGCGTGAAATATATCCGAGCGTTTTTATTGCGACCGCGTTCCACTCCCGGACTAGTATGTGTTGTCTCTGCGACGAAGAAATTCTGTCGACGAGTGGTTTGCCTCACGACGACCTTGCCGCGCACACGCAACCTCCGCGCCCGCCGCCGCGCCGCAACCACTTGCCTCCGCTCCTCTGTTGCTGCCGCGTCGTGAAAGTAAGTAACGCTACACGTTGCGTTGCTGTCCACTTCAGTCTCACTACCAGCTCTTTTCATATTCGTCAAGGAGCCTGTGGATCTATCATTGCTTTAACAGTAAAGTTTTCCAAATTGAAAACAAGTCTAGCTGCGGTAATATAATCAGTAGGTAAAATGCATCAGATTAATTACTTAAATGTAGGTACCTACACTTTCAATCATTGTTTGCTGATCAAGTTTTGCAATACTTAGTATATGTTACAAAAAGTACAAACACATTCAATTCGGACGAATGCTTACCCGGGCTTCCGGGATCTTGAGTGCCACAGTGGCCTCTCGTCTTTTATTCGCGAAACCTGCACATTGCTCATGTTCGGTAGTTGGTGGAATTTGTTGCGATACGGGTCAGTTTTGTTACTCTTGCGGAGGGTTCGGTGGTGTTCAGCATGAAGCAAGTTATTGTAACTTCGTCGAATTTTCTGGTTCGTTTTTATCAAATTAATACTTCTTGATTTTTGCCAAAATTAATTTCAATACCTGGTGAAGTTAGAAATACTGCCCTCCTTATTATAACTAACGCAACCGACATTTTTAACGAAACTGAATTATGAACATATCTGGAGTCAGTGAAACGAGATCTACAACCCCCTCTAATAGGGTTTTTTATTTCTTATTTAGTTTCAATATTATTTATTAGCAAAATTAACGGAGTTTACATTTTTTTGTTAATAATAAAACTAGGTCCCAAAATTTCGAAAATTACCGAAATATGCGTTGAGTTATGACAAGGACTGCAGAATGCCCAGTCTCATATTATTTCATAGAACATATATATTATATACATAATCAATAACGTAGCAGGTGACGAAGATTGTCGTCAGTAACAGTGAATAATTTGCTAATAACATTTTTTGTGTAGTTTTTATATCACCATAGTTTTTGCGGGTGCTATTGTCTGATGGACATTTTCTCGATTAACAACGGGCTGATTGACACGTTAGACAAAAAACAAAACAATACTGGTAGCGGGTGCGGCTACCGTCGGGCGGTGGCCCAGACGCAGGCGCAATTGCGACTCGTATCATGGAGCCTCAATTTTTCCAAACGATTATTTGATTTTTTAACAATAACAAATATGCATCGTGGCATTCCCTGCGTGTTTGTCCCACGATATTCTAATACATGACAAATGGACACCCAATAAATGTGGAAAGCAGTGTTGCGTTTTGTGTTCAACAAAAGGAAGACGTGAAGCAATCCAATTAGGTTTTTAACTAGTACATAGATATCGTTGGTTTTTATAGGATTTTTTACAGTGTACCTAAACAGATGTTTTACTGAGGAGGATCTCAAACCGGAACTAGCATAATTGACAATATCGACAGACGAGTTCGCTGCCGGTGCCCCGTCTCCGTATTAGCGCATTTAATTTGAACCACTTTTTGCTCAACTCGGTTATTATTAATAAATAAATGTTATGTTCGAGTACTGGAGGTCAATGTTCGAAAGGAATGCCGTAGTAAAATGCGTTAAGGACGCCAGTTCGGCATCTATCAACTGTATAAACGGTGTTCTGCTCTGTTCATAGTCTAATTATGCGAAGCTGGTCATAGAATCCTAATTAAATTCGAATCACAGAATATCTATTCTATGATTCATATCACGTAACTAATTCTGTTAAAACTACTGTTTTATAAAAATATATTCAAATAGTTACAATTCACCTAATAGTTTTTTCTAACTACTAATTGTAATGAAGAATAATAAAGAACTGATTATTTGTTCATGTCACAGGCAAATCCACGCCTTTAGTAATAGAAATGTAAGCATTTAGTTGACGAAACTTTCTGTAACAATAATATAAAATTCTATCATGCTCAAAGGTGTTGTTTGTCGCGTGTTGTTCATTTACGAATTTTTTTTATTACTTACTACTCATCGTTGCAACAAAGTTGTTATTATTCGGATAGGATATGAGCATTTCGCTTAGGTAAAGTAGATATGAATTTCGAATGTGTATATACAATAGTCATTAAGCAATTGCAGGTTTTAAGTATTAACTACTCAGTTGCAATGAGATTACTATATTTAAAAGCCGGTGCAAGCGCCTCCACTCAATGCTGTTTAGCATAGAATGACTAGCTGTCATTACGAGACTTGTAGCAGGTGGCACTTCTGACAGAAGTGGCAAAGACAATGTTGTAATCTACAACTAACAACAGCTCACTACAGGCTTGATCTAAGTTAAGACCAAATGTACCTACCTTTTTCTACGTACGTGTTTAGTTTCACTTACTTAACAATGCGTTACTTTATTTTTAGCCATCAAAGGACTTTGGATCTTCATTCGATATCGTTAGTAACACTAATCAAATAATTGCACTTCCTAAATCAGTAGACGGTAACACCAAGATCACGATGAGATATCATCGATTTAATACCTAATTTAAAAAATAAGTACTTCACTTTTAAATATATATCTTTTTAAATGTAATGTACGCTGTCTATAATAATGTGTAGGATACTTAAAGCAGATTTAGTGAAATGACAAAGCAAATTGGATGTAATAAATCTCTAGTATTTAACACATATGGTTATATGATTTAACCATGAAGGTGATATAAGTATGGTTGAGAGGCGTCGCAGTCGCGTGCGCGCTATGCATTTCCCAAAAGACCTGTTATTCTGGCATCCTGCTCTATCGATCACCAGCCTGTATCTGGGTCGGCTCTGCAAAAACTTGCAATAAATATATTACCTACTTATCACTTGATAATTCAGATTCTAACGACTCGCAACGTCACATTCACTCGTAACTCGAATGCTAAGAGATTTTTTGCTCGTCGAAATTGAATAATTAAAGATTTATTATAGATTTGGTATGCAAAATAGGAGTTAGTTTTTTTATAATATCAAGTGATGGGACGAACATGTCGTGCGCCTGATGGTAAGCTACACGCCTGTCCATAACAGTTGCAGTGCCATTCCAAGCTTTAAATCGCAAAGATCTGAGGGGCACTCCCACTGCGTCCGTCACCCTGAGACGTAAGTTGACAAGTCCCATGTGCCTGTAATTTCACCAGCACCCTTCACAACGGAACACAGTAATGCTCACATTACTGCTAGGCGGCAGAAATGAGTAAGGTGGCAGTACTTTCCTGGACAAACTCTTTCACGAGGTGCTCTACTGCTATTTTTTTTTATTTATGCGATACGTGTGAAAGTTTTGAGAGATTCTGAGTTTTCATAATTTACACATAGTGAGTTTTTTGTTAACTGCTAATGAAAGAATATATTTCTTCGAGTAATACAATCACATTAGCAAATTTCGATATTAAACACATGCGTCAAAACATTGGTATCATCTTCAAAACACGAGCAAGAGGGCTGCAGCTGAAAGGGTGGAAAAGTGAAAAAGCCTATCGTACATATATTTATTCACGGCATGTCAGTGTACTCACCGATTTCTCAATTGTGGCCCGATTTTGAAGATTATTTTTTTGTTTGAAAAGGTATACTTTCGAGGTGGTCTTTGATGCCGACGAGGCTGTTACGGGTGCATGTCGAATATCACAAATTATTAATTATTTTCCGCAAATAAGTCGACTTTTTACTTCACATAATATATTGTAATCAACAAATCACCGTCACTATGACAACCAGAAAAAAGTATAAAATGTACAAAGGAGTCCGTAACAGTCCCATTGTCACCAAGAAGCCAGAATCTTATGAGGAGATCCCAGGATAATCGAAAAAAACCGATAAGTACACTTTTGACGTCGGTTTTTTCAATAAAAAAATTACAATTATCTTAAAAACTTTCCGAAGAAGTATTCTCTCTAAGTATTAATTTAATATTATAGTAAGTGATCATGAATAATTTAATCAGTAGAATCTAAACAACGTACATGTTGCTTTTGTTACAGGTGTTGCGCACGTGTGGCGTGGCGCGAGTGTGTGATGCTCGAGACGCGCAGCGGCGGGCGCCGGCGCCGCGAGTAGCCGCGATCATGCGGGGGCCGCGCACCGCGCTCGCCGCCGCCGCTTGCCTCGCATTCATCGTCTTGCTGGCCCAACATTCCTCTGCTTCTTCAGATATCATCAGTGAGTGATCCTGATAAAAAGTTGTAAACGAATATGCAATTTATACCAATTAACTCATATCGCATAGCTGGTCCCTAATTATAATTTTATTAAAGACGTAATATCCACCCAATACACCACCATACTTTTATGAATCAGGCACAGTGCGCGTAAAATATAGCTATGTGACTTTGTAATCTGTTCAAAACGAAAGAGTAAGCTTTACACGCGCGTCTATCTCGATATTTATAATAATAATAATAATTATTAATTTATTTCAGACATTCCCAATTCATAATATTTGTTAGTAAAAGTACTTAAAAACTAATGTCAGAATTGACCTACAAAAATTTATAAAATTCAACAAATATGAAAAATAAATTAAAATAATAAAATCAAAATTCAAAACTATAAAATCATCTGCGTCAAAAAGCATCATTAAATCAAAATTAAAATACAATAAAAAATTTTAAATTTAAAAAACTCTTCTAGTCAGCATAAGAATGGTTACAAAATGAAATTAAAGTATAAAAAAAATTATATTTTAAATTAGTTCTGAATAATTTATAATAATTTTGTTGTACATAATAGGCGAACTAAGGGTATAAGTAGGACATGTTAGGGCGCGTTCTCCTTATGTCGTAACATTTTATTCATCGTTGGACGCCTGACGCGTCTAGTCTATTCCCATATCACGACTAATTGTCGTGACTGTGTCGTGGACGGTTATTTTATCGTTGAACGACAGTCGCGTCTAGCGACAGAATCGTATAAAGTGCGATTATCTGTCGTCACACTTTTATCGTAACCTTTTATTTATCGAACGACGACTGTCGTTCTAGCTTTTCTTATATTATCATGACAGTCCGTCGTTGTAACGTCAAAAAAGTCGTGAACTGCAATTAATCATGTTGTACTATATATGACTATTTGTCGTCGCGACGTAATGGGAACGCGCCCTTAGTTTATGAAGTTTGTTCATTACCTACATTGGACGTGGAAGACATCACTTTCATCCGTGAAGTTCCACGCAGCAAACCAAGCTCCAACCTCGTACCGGTTGCACAAGCTGCGCTTGGCGACAATTCTTCAGTTGCGAAACTGTCCGGGCCAGTTCCCACGTAGATCACTCGCCCGAGTGCGTTCGCGCGGCTCTCGAGAATGCATTGCCCATTAGCATGCGTGTCTAATAATAATATATCTATCCGTATTGCGTATATTTCCATACAGATGTCACGATTTGGTAGAGTTTTGACAATTTTCAGATTTGCTCACATATTTCGGTCTTAGTACCATCAGTAACAACTATTTCCGTCATGTAACACTTAAATTGACTTTAATCATATAATTAGACAAAATTTTAAAAGATTTTAATTAGCAGTAGTTTTTAGTAGCAGTAGAGCTCTTCTAGAGTTCGCCACCTACCTACCTGTGTTCCGGTTTTGAAGGGTAAAGGTGCTGGTGAAATTACAGGCACATGGGAGTTGTCAACTTATGTCTCAGGGTGGCGGGTGCAGTGGCAGTACCCCTCAGATCTTTGCGATTTAAAGCTCTGAGTGGCACTGCAACAGTCATAGACAGGCGTGTAGCTCACCATCAGGCGCACGACTTGTTCGTCCCGTCATTTGAAATTATATACTAAAAAAAATTTGGTTCGTTATTACACTCTCGCATTTAGCGTACCACTACGGTCACTATATTTTATGGACTTATAATTACTATTATAAACCTTGTCGCAATAGAATAGAGAATGTGAAACTACAGTGCTCTTAACTTCAAATGGCTACAACTATAATCTGCTATTAGTATCAAAACAAATCATTACATGGCTACACATGTACGGTGTACTGTACACAAATAAGGAAGCAATTACAAGCCATTAAGAGTTCATAATCATGTGCATAAGGGCACATGTTCCGTCAGTCCTTATGCGCGGTTGAAGCAACTTTCTAAAAATTATCCTCATCTAGTTGGTCATTAATGAAATGACCGATAAACGTAGAGCCAATAACTACTTTGTGGACATTCGCGTTTACCTTTAATACACCAAAATGCCGCAATCAAGTGCGCATATAGTCATAAAGTACCGTATATTTTCGTGAGTTGCGTAATGTCTTGTCATTTACTGAAATAATGTAATTTAGTCGTTAATTATACATTATATTGGCTTTCGACTTGTAGCGAGGCGTGAAGAGGCATCTTGTAGGCATGCAGGGTGGAGGTGGCTAGGGCAGTGATTGTATCAACACTGCACTAGGTTCCTTCGCGTTTGGATTCCATTTTTCATTTCACATCAGATGGAATGGAGTCATCTGCCTGTCATATATATAAAAAAAGAGGGAAAACGTGTCTCATGCAGGGTACAAGTTCTCTGGTCAATGAGATTTATATTAATAGCGGACAATTTTGATACTAATATGTGATTTGAAAACTGTATTATGACTTAAAGGAGCACTTATGGCCCATTACCGCTTGGGGGCAGAAATAGGTAAGGCGGCAGAACTTCCCTTGACGAACTCTTTCATAACGAACTCTACTGCTACTAAAATATCTTTTCTCTAGGTAGACACGCACCCAGAAATGGAACGTATTTGAATTTATTTTTCCATTCAAGATGCGTTGTATAAATAAGAGATGGTAACAAGATAATACCAGTACAGAGTACTGAAAACCTTAAAAGTTCGTGGAATTACATCTAAGTATTTGCCAAGTTTGATTGAACTAGGTTACCGGAAAGTGCGCGAAACCGGATTCATCCCCTACTACCCTTAGAGTTGGAATATTTTCTTCAATTATATGGGACCAATACTGAGATACTCACTTTCTAACAAAAAGGAATCATCAAAATCGGTTCACATACATGCATGCAAAAAAAATCAGCTGCATTGAGAACCTCCTCCTTTTTTTGAAGTCGGTTAAAAGTATCAAATTGATCGCCAGAAGAGAAACTAACTACGTCTGTAATTCAAAAATGTCTTGTTTATTGACTCAAAGTAAAGTTGGTAGGTATCTAATGAAAGAAATAGCAGGACCGGAATTACGAATTAGGTGGATATTGTGAGAAAATGACATGGAGGAAAATGCGCAATGGAATGAGCGGCTTTTGCAAAATCCTTAGACATACAGTGGATTTGTATACAGCCGGATCTATTAATTCCGTAATAAGAAGCTTAATATGATGTTATAAAGACATTTAAAAATAGAGACCGGTCTTCGAAATTCCGCATTAGAATAACTTCTTAACGTTTGTTTGCAAATATAGTACATTTTATTAATAAATAAAGTACCTAGTATAAAGAACATTTCAGTCGGTTCCGTTGTACTTTTTCTATTAATTATAAAGAACGCTTTCTTCTGTACTGCACAATTACTTACCAATCTACTTAAAATATCACCATGAAATCAAAGTATAACAGGCTCCTGATCAGAGTTGCACGGCTGACTGATAAATCAAGGACCATGGGACCTATAAAGGGCCTGAAACGTTGGTTTGTTCGACTAAACAATAGATAGATCCAAAAAAAATAGTTTAATTTCCTACTTGTAACAATCGCGCAAACCTAAGAACTCAAAGAAACTACAAAATAATATTTCTGAAACGAAACAAGTTCAAAGTCAAAAGTTACATTGACATTGGTCAGTTCAAATAGCTTATCTCCAGTGGGTAGGTGTTATCTGCTCTTAATGCAAAAGGTAAAGGCCGGACGTGACAGAACTAACGAACTAATTGCGTGATTTGTTCGTGACACACGTTCCGTCTACTGCTCTGGCTACTATTATATTGAATAATAAGTAAAGTGTGCGCTACCCTGGTGTGTTAATGTCTTTTTATATAGCCTAGCGCATATTGACTGGTATGGTTTTTCTTATTTCAGTTTGTTACTTGGCTGTAAGTAACGACGCCTTTACGCTTAAATGTATTGTGTTGTTTATATTTTCTACCTTTTAATATAGCTAAATAATCTGAAAACTTTGAAAAATAAAGAAAAAATGCTAAAAAAATAAAAAATGAAACAATAAAATATTGAAGAGAAAAATAATGGCAACTGAACAAGGTGCGTTGCGCGACTTACAGCTTATACATTGTTTTCAGAACTGAGTCTAGTCTTTATAAAAAAATTTTGTTATGTCTGAGACCGTTAGTTACTAAACATTTATACTGCAATATTGCGATAGTTATCATAATACCAATATTTTGCTGGAACGCAACGTCGTTTGAAATTAATGTAATTTTTTTTTATAATGTCAAATGACGTGATGAAGAAGTCGTGTGCCTGGTGGTAAGCTATATGCCAGTTCATAACAGTTGCAGTGCCACCTTAAATCGCTAAGATCTGAGCGGCACTGCCACTGCACCTGTCACCCTGAGACATACACACGCCGTAAAGTTACCTGCTTATCGATATTGTACCGGATATATCACGGAGAGTGTGCGAGGGAGTTACACGAATTAATTCCGCCTTCCCCTTTCCATCATAGGGGGACCAGACAGGCTGGGGTGCCACCCTTATGTTGTGGATATTACAAGGATTCGCACCAAGCGTTTCGCTTCCACATTTATATGGCGAACGGCTATGGAGTGGAATTCCCTGCCTGCAGACTTGTTCCCTGAACGTTATAACTTGGACCTTTTCAAGGCGAGAGTTTATTTAGGTTTGCGTGCCCCATCGTCGACTACATGGTCACTTTCCATCAGGTGAGATGGAAGTCAAATGTGCACTTATTTTTTAATAATAAAAAAAAAATTCGTTGACAATGTTCCAATGTTGACAATGTGACAATGTGACAATGTGACCATGTACCTGTAATTTCACCAGCACCCTTACCTTTCAAAACCGGAACGCAGTAATGCTCACATTACTGCTTGGAGACAGAAATAAGTAAGGTATTTCCCTGGAGGAACTCTTTCACAAGGAGCTGTACTGCTACTAAAGCTTTCAGAAATGCATGTCTTATTAAATGACATGTGTAATTTAAAATATATATTTGCCTTATAGTTTTTTATATAAATCCATTTGTTA